AGAGAAATATCAGCTGTGCTGCTGCCATCAACACCTTTGTTTCTAGATGTTGGAGCTTGGCCTGTTTTCCAGTGTAGTCCTGTTTCTCTGCCCAGTCAGTTTTAGTCTGAGGCAATTAAGGCCAGGCTTAAAACTTTCCTTTTTGATAAAGCTTAGTTCTACAATCAACCCTAAAGAAAAGTCAGTCATCCAATAGAACCTTTCATCCCCAACATTCTGATTGGTTCTGGCTAGTCATTGCATGGCTGTCCTCTAGGACACTGCATCCCAGCCTGTACCCCCCACCACCCCATCCCGTCAGCATCTGCTCAGCTTTCTGTAATTCAGGTTTTCTGTTAGCTTTATTCTGCAAGCAAAGAAAACAAGGCTGTGATCAGATTTGCCCAGAAGCCATTTTGCTTTAAACAAATCCAACGTTTCTCTGGTAGAGCAGCTGACAAACACTGGAAACACTGGGACTATAACAGAGAGATGCGATAGAAATAACCAGTGATATTCCTCTGGGCCGTCTGGCTGATAAAATCCTTTCTTATGCTGATAAAACATCAGGTCTCGTCTCTCCATCTGACTGAAATATAGAGATGATGGTTGATGTTTGTTGAAGCCAACTCTGAATGAACTCCCAGATCGCGGCTCTGAGCTTCTTCATCACGGTTGGTTTGTTCTCAGCGCACGGCGCCAGCTACAGGCCTCAGGTGGCACGACACCTCGAGGAGTTTCTTTTTTTTTTTTTTTGATGAAAGGCTGATATGATTGAAAATATCCCAGCTTGTGTTTTGGCTGTGAATATCTATGATGTGAGAAACTGTGGAAATAAAGATCTTTCTGACGTAGATCTATCTGAGTTTGTGTGAAATTTCTACCAGCAGACATTTTTACTCAAACATTCATTCATTCAATATTTTCCTTTCTATCTGCTGCAGGAGCACAGCTCCTCCTCTCTCAGTAACTGGGCTGGCATTGTCATGGCAACGGGCTTGACCAATCAGAGTGAGAGCTGCACTGTGGCTCAGGTTTTTGGTCCCGTTTCCATAGCGATGGTTTTAATAAACAAAGACAAACAGAATGTGAATTTTCTAATTATTCAAAGTCAAGCTAACGCTACTTAGCATAGCTAGCCGGTAGCTTTCGCAGCTAAACGCCTGCTAATGCGAGCGACTCAAAGCGTGTCAGTCGGATCAGAGGAGATTTTATTGTTATATTATTATTTGCTCTAAGATAAAACTTTGCTCTAACTTCCTCTTAGCGACATTTCTAGTCTGGCAATTTCTTTCTGAACCTTTTCAAACATAAAATAACGTCTACCTGGTTATTTCTACGTCTATAATCATTTAACTAACAGTTTATTTTCAGCTGATTATTTCTGTACGGCTAAAACATTTTGAACTTTCTCATATATCCAAGATTAAAGCAGGTTGAGCTCTGCCATGTCGACATGAACCAACCTGCAAAATCACAGGAAACCGCTGATTTTTTCTGACTGAATCTGTCAGGAATGCATGAAGACAGCGAATGAAAAAACTCTAAGAAGGTTTTATTAGAGCTTCAACACAAAATCATTTTTACACCAAATCTCTTAAAACATTTTTCTTCTTCAGTTTCATGAAAATAAATCTCACTTTTAAAAACCTTTTTTAAATCAATCCTTCTATAAATTGAGCTGAAAGTAAAGCGGATCTGAACGTAGAGCTGTAACTGAACGTAGAGCTGCAATTAACGGTTATTTTGCTAATTGATTAATCTGTCAATTATTTTTTCAATTAATAATCAGTGAACAAAAAGCTCCTTAAAGAAGATTTTTTTAAGAAATTTAAGAAATGTAAGAAAACTGAATCTTTTCCACTAAGGAGTTCTGGATTATAGATCATATTTATAGATGGAAAATATTTTTATTCTAAATGCAAAATGTTTACACATTAGTTTAACATATTTGCTATAATTCCTGCTCTCAGCGGGCCGCCCTGTCAGTATTAAAGTCTCTATATTCAATTACTGAATTAGTTACAATTATTTGAATAATCGATTAATCTGATGAACAGTTTCAGCTCTAATCTGAACTACAGTGAAACATGCAGGTCAGACGAGTTTCAGGCTTCAGCATCGTTAACCAAATAAACAACGAGCCTCTTTAGCGCTTTAGCTTCCAGCTGAGGACAAACTGACAGACTGAGGGCTGCAGAGAAAATAAAAACTTCTATCTATAAATGGTTTAACAGCTGCATGCCAGTGAGGATGAATTATGAAGAGCAGGAATAAGATGATTTGATAATTAAAAGAGGAATACCAATGTTCCTCCTCCTCATTTCTCATCTGATCTTTATCCAGATTAACGCACAGAGACTTGGTTTAGACATAATTTAGCTGAAACAAGCCAAATTTAAAGTTTTTTTACTTTCAAGATTAATTAATCTCAGATGCAATAAAAACCCAGAGCTGCTGTATGAATAAAGTGAAGCTGAGTTACAACATGGAGCCATTTTCCCCATTTAAGAAATTAATCGTTTGATTTAAAGCTTCCTCTGAATTTTTAGATTATATTCCTAAATGTTATTTTAATGTTGATATTGTTTCCTTATAGCTGCAGTGATTATTGCTCCTGATCAGCAGCAGCAGCTCTGAAGGGAAACTAAATCAGTTCAGCAAGGCTCAGGGTGGGAGGAGGGGAAAGGTCAGCCCCCCCCTCCCATTATCTTCTTAGAAATAATGCCAACCCCCGCCCCAGCTCTGCATAGTGACACATGCAGCATGTTGCTGACAGCTGTCTGGGATTAGCAGCAGGCTACTGTTCTTTCTGGCTCTAATCCCATCACCCCAGTAAACCCAGGTTGGGGGGGGGGGTTGCTTCCACTCTGCATGTCAGGTTGGTAGATGGGGGGTGGGGGGTGCATGTCCCTCCGTGCAGCTCTGCGCTGCCTTCAGCATGCAGAGCTGCAGCAGAGACATGCATGGACTCCTACCTGAGGAAGACCGTCTCTCCCTGCCGGGCGGTGATGTTGTCCATCACTTTGTTGTCGGATTGAGAATCCTCCTGGCTTTGGACCGGAGACCCTGCGAGCACAAGAAGCAATACCCTCAGAGACACAGGAAGAAAAGCGGCTGAATATCCCCGGACAGGCATCGTCTGCAGCCCCTCAGGCGTCAAATCCAAAACGTCCCGCAGCGAGACCAGCAGCCGGCTCTAATTCAAGCCCTTCATCAATCCTAATCCCAATCTGAGCGCAGGTAGCCGCGCCGCGCGCTGCGCTCACAGAGGCTCACTGAGCTGCCAGCAGGCGCCACTTCCTCACTTCCTTTATTTATTTATTTAGTCTTCAATAAAAAAAAAAGTGTTAAAAAGCGGCGGTGATGTCAGAGCGGACAGCAGATTGATAATCTGACACTGAGAGCAGATTAACCTGCTGCTGGTTCACCTTTCTGAACACTTTCTGTGCCTCAACGGGATTAAAACCTAATATATTCATCGTGTCTTTTATAAACAAATGAGGCTAAACTGGAGTTTAAAACATCTGAATTTTTACTGAAAAGGAACTGAAACTGAAAAAGAAAAAAAAAAACAAGAAAAAAGGACGAAAAAGTAAAAAAAAGGACTTAAGATGAACAATAATCTATTTATATCCATCTATCATATATATATCTATTTATATATGTATTATAATAATAATAATAATAATAATAATAATAAAATAGTAATAATAAGAAGTAACAGAACTATTAGAGATGAGATGGGGAAGGTAGAGCCAAGAAGTTCACCTGCTTCTACTTTCTTACTCATCCAGCGACTAACATTACTCTGTTTTTAACAATAAACTTTATTAAAAATGAAAGTTTTAAAAGTAGGCAGGGAGGAAGCCTTTCCACCGTGGAGCTTATAGTGATTTTTTTTTTTACCACCTCAGGGACTTCAGGCTAAGGCCCCGTCCACACGAAGTCAAAACGAACACGAAACGCTAATATTTTCCAGAACGTTTGTCGTAAAGACGGAGACGTAAAATAAATGTGATCGTCCACACGAATGCATGAAAACGCTGCAAAATGTATGCCAGGCCTGTAAGTGGCGCTGTGGTGCCAAAGCAAAAATAGGCGAGGAAATGTTGGGCATGCGCACTAATATTTATACATGGTTGCCCTGCGGGTCCATTTTGGTGGTTCAGTCAAATTCAGGTGCTGAACTATGTGGTCGATATTGCTCTGTTCTTCCTGGAGATATTCCAGAAGAAGAAGATTCTGCTGTAAGCCCGACAGCAGGGTGAGTAGCATGAGCAGCAACCATTCAACACAGTACGGCGCCATTGTTGCTGTGATACTGTGTCGCGCATGCGTGTTTAGAGGCGACGCTATGACGCATGCGTGTAAGAAAAAAAATGCGGTTAGAGCTTAAAGATAGAAACGTGAAAACGGCGTTTCAAAATCTTCCCACTCTGAAGGCTGAATAAAAAAAGATGGTTTACAGACCCCGAAACGCCGGCTTCGTATGGATGAGAGGCTGGTTTGGTGAAAAATTTGTGCGTTTAGGCCAGGGTTTGACTTCGTGTGGGCGGGGCCTGAGAAATAAACAGGCCAACTTCCACCATGGAAGGTATAACAGGAGGGTTCAGGAAATCCAAACCCTCCCCTTCATGTTACCTGTCTGTAACATCAGGCGTTAACAATTGGACCAGGCTGCTTCAGCTTGGCGACATCACTTCCTGCCAGAATGCAGCACTGGGTTGGCTGCTGCCACCATGACAGACAGTGCAGGCAGTGGATGGACAGTGAGGCAGAGAACATGGTCCACTCTATGTCCTCAGGATCCCCAATAACCTCAGACAGTGTTTGCTGCTAGCTTTCCCTGACCAAAGATCTGCCAATCATTCCAAGTAGACCCTGACTACTAGCTACCAGGTGGAGATCGATGGACCGCTCTGCCCCTCCCTCCACCCGAGCATCCAAGAGAGGAGCTGAGTTGATCTCTGACCTTTGGCCTAGGGTGTCCTGTTGCTAAATTCACCACTGAAACTTGAATTTTATGTTGTTAATGATGGACGATCACCGACCTGCCCACAAGTCCAATAATGAAACCCAGTCGGTTCAGAATGAGGAGGGTGTTCCTCCCGCTCACCCCCCACTAGGCATCACCGCTACCTAGCACCCTGTCTGGAAAGCTAAGAAGGCCTGATGCCCATGGGCCAAATACAACCAGAGTCTTTATCGTCCACTGGGATGAAGACCAACTCAGGAGAGTCCAGCCTCTCAGCGGTAGCTGAGTTTCATAGCAAAGTAAAAGCTAAAGCTTCTCACACGTTAGCCCATAATTAACTCCATCAATTCCTCATCATCGAGCCTAGAGACCAGGCGCTGTTTTAGGTCTGATGCACCAACACTGCGTTAGCTCCTACTATATTCTATCTAATATTCTGCTCTACTTTAGGGGGAACTTTAGCACCAGTCCTTCATGGTTCCCACTAGCTGGTTGTGGGCCCCCGGGGGGGCCCGGGCTCCGTCGAACCGCTCTTTGTCAGGCTAGTTTGCCTTGAGAGGCCCTATCAGGAGCCATTAAGCACTGATACCCTCCACTGTGTTCAGGCTGTGGTTCCAGGATGGGTTTTACTTTGGAAAATATTCCTGAGTTGCTCAGAAGCTCCTGAAACATCTATAGCAGAGCAGCAAAGTTAGTCTCCTCTGGTGGAGGCAACGTCTGTTCTGGAAAACCAGGACAACATGTTGCTCTTGGCGTCGTCTCTGGAAGCTGAAGTATCTGACCTTCAGTGAACATTTCTGGACCCAAATCCCATCCATGAATCTGATCAGTTGCTGCTCATTGCTCTATTCTCCACCTCCTACTTCTCAGTATTGGCTCATATGGATCAAACTATGGGATCATGGAACAACAGTGTTTTTTTTTATTTAAAATATGTATTTAGAAAGAGATGAAATATTTTAAACAGGAAGAAACAGTTGCCTTTTGTATCTATGCTTCTTTTTCTATGTCTGCTTCTGTCTCCTTGAACCCCAGTCAGCCTCAGCAGATGGCCGCTCACACTGAGCCTGGTTCTGCTGGAGGTTTCTTCCTGTTAAAAGGGAGTTTTTCCTCTCCACTGTCGCTACAAGCATGCTTAGTGAGTCGATGCAATCAACTGGTTTTCCTTAGATAGAAAACTTTGAATCAATCTGACTGGATGATCTGGTGAACTGTAGAGTGAGCTGAGATGACATGATGTGAATCTATAGAAATAAACTGAATAGAAGAGAATTGAATAGAATTGATGACCCTTTAGAGAAATTCAAGGTTAAAAAATTCTTTTCACTTGTTTCTTAGTTTTATTTTATCGTCTTTGTTCACAGCAATAGTTGTATTTCTTAGAATTGGTGCTCGGTTCCTACTTTGGTTGATCAGGTCACTATGAACCACCAGAACACGCCGTTAAATATTTTCTTTAATGTTAAAGTTTTGGCCTCAGAGCAGCGTTAGGTTTCATGCAGAAAGCTATTCAAACATCCGTTTCAGCAGGACTGCTTTGTTCCTGGAGATGACATTTGCAGGTGAAATCGATTTGTGCCGTGAAGGTTTTCGGCCACCCCATCAAGGTGCACATGATCACAATGATACATCGCTACGTCGTATAAATAAAAGTGCTTTCCTCCTATGCTTTTAAGTGCTCCCATATGCCAGCGCAACAATAAGCATCAGCAGAGATGACAGGCCCCTGCTGACTCTCTCCAACCTATTCACCTACAAGGATGTAGAAATAAAACCTGCAGCACTTAGATGTCTCATAAAACGCTGCCATGCTGTTAGCATGAATGTATAATCTAAGTCTGGATAAAAGCTCCTTCACTGCAGAGCGGAAATTAAGAACAAGGTCACCTGGTTAATCAGAAAAACCCAAATAAATGTAAAAAAAACGCCCAAAAAACTCAAACAAATAAGTCAGAAATGTTCTTCTGAAAACGCTGTTTTCATCAGTTTCATTATTATTATTATTAGTTTATAAAGCCCATAGAGATGAGTCATAGTATTCAGCTTATAGGCACCTATCAGCTTAGTTAGAACTAATTTAGGAGCTTTGGAAGTTTACACCTAAAATAAGTCTTAAAGTGGTTGAAGGCGTAAAAAGATGACCTGCACTGAGAGGCGTTCAGGCTGGAGACATTTCTGATTAAACGAATGTGGTCCTGTTTCTCTGCAGCCGTCTGGTCTCTTCTATCAGAGTTAGACCCTAAAACGTATCATGATGATTTATGATCTTTTTCATCTGATTCTGCTGCAGCAACATAACCTACAGAAAACTAAATCAAACTGGAGGCTTTGTGACATACAGATGAAGTCCTGAGAGGTTTTTTGAACCGCACTGTTTGTTGTTTACACTCAATGAAAAATCTAATGCTTGTTTTTAGACTGACTGCCTGTTCTCTGCAGCTTGATCCCTTCCTGATGACTTCCTGATGGCCTCCCTCCTCTTTAAGTCTCCCTTTGTCCTCAGAGGACTATTATGGGATGAGATCTTAGTGAAATATTAGGTCAGTGACTCAGGAAAGCAGCTGAGTGGAGGGAGCCTTTACACCTGAAGGCCTGCAGGGATACACCATATTTCTGTCTCTCTTCTGCAGTTTCTATATTTTTATTGTATTCCAGTCATTTTGGAAGTAATTTCACGTATGCGGAGTCTGAAAGTGCTTCACTTGTTTTTTGGCTCATGTACCAAATGAAAAATGACTGAGAAACAAACCGCCGCAGTGACATGAGGCCAGGCTCTGTTTGAAACGGTTGCCATGGCAACTGGCTGTTGTCCAGAGGAGAGGCGCTCTAAGTTGCTCTGTTCCTCACACTCGTCTTTAAACCTCACAGACAGTGTTTGCAGAGACTTTATTACTGTGGGCTTCAGCAATCAATACTTTAAGGTTAGAAACCCTGAATATACATGGAGAGATTGCTGCCGGTGAAATTCTCTTCCTCACCCTTGAGCAGGGATTTCTGAGAACCAGTGCTGGAAAAATCCCTGTTTATCCTCCGATAAGGACGCAGTCGATGCCGTTATGGTTTCAGCTTTCTGCAATTTAAAGGTTGGCCCGCTAATAAGATTTTTATGATGCTTTTTTTCAAATGAATTTGTATTTATTTATAAATGAGGTCTTTGGTATCTTATTCAGTATTTCGCTGAAGCCGACGGACAGCTGACACTTTGATGATAACTCAGATAAAAGCAGAACTTATGTGCAGCCTGAGGAGAACCAGACCGCCTCTTCTGATTGGTT